ATTGTATGAAAGAAGATTCATATAAAATCTTGCCAATAAAATTTTATGTTATTTTAGATTTCAGTAAATTGGGAGAAATACTTGTAAAATGAAAATTCTGGTAAATTTTTATATGATTTAACTTTATTTCATGAGCATGTTACGAATGCTATGAATTATTTTCTCTTTCTGTCTCCTTGCAAATTCACATCCAAGGTCATATGAAGATGAATCTACTCATCTTGTTCCAAAGGCTATCTTATATGTAGGGATGGAACTTCTTTCATCCCTCCTGTGGAAGCTCCCTTGGTGGATAGGTGGGTAGTTGTCCACCTATAAGTGCCTCCTGAACTACTACTACTCCTCGCTCCTTTTTCCAGATTCTTTTGATTTTCGACCAACTGTGCAAGCTTCATGGCCTCCCCTAGGTCTCTGGGCATCAGGACCTTCACCGCTGCTCGCACCTCGGCCTTTAACCCCTTCATAAAATTGCCCTCCAGCACCGTTTCGGACAAGCGCTCCACCCTGCTGGCCAGATGCTCAAACCTCTCTCGATAGTCTGCCACAGACCCCTCCTGAACTAGGGCAAAGAACTGCTCGTAGAAGTCTCCTCCCCGGTCGGTTTGGAAACGCTCTAACAAACTGTCCTTGAATTCTCCCCAGCTCCTGATAGGTCTCCTTTGATCTCTCCACTGGTACCAAGAGAGTGCCTTCCCTTCCAGACACAAACCCGCTGCCGACAACTTCTCCTCCTCTGTCAATCCGTTAACAGCAAAGTACCTCTCCACTTTGTAGATCCACCCATAGGCATCCTCCCCTTCAAAAATTGGCATTTTCAATTTTCTCACCTTCCGATCCCCGCCATTCCCCCTTAATCCTCCATAGTTTCCCCTCTCCCATGTGCCTGGACCCCCCCACGTATCCCGATCTTCCCTTGCTCTGCCCTGTCCCAATCCCTCTTCAAAATCTCCTCTCCGATCTTCAAAAATTGCTTCCCGGCGCCCCTGAAATCCCCCCCGATGTTCCCAACCAGCCCCTCTGGGTTCCCCACCTCCATAGCCTTGTCTTTCCACATACCTTCCTCCTCTCTCCTCTCTCTGGAAAGGCTCCAGATGAGGTCTTCCCCTACTCCCTTCCACGATTTCCACTTCCTCTTCCTCCCGATGGATTTCAGAGTTGGTGTTCTTCGCTGCGGGCCCTTTTGCATCAGATGCCGCTGATTGGGTTTGAAACTCCAACATCTTTTTCATCATATCCCGTAGATCGGCCACTTGTCCTTCCATGGAGGACATTCTTTCTTCTACGGTTTCCTTGATTTGATTTATCTCTCCTTCAATCCTCTCCTCCAAAGCATCCACCTTCTTAGCCGCCATCTCCTACGGCTTGCAATTTAGGAGAAGATCTCAAGATTTGGAAAAAAAATTTCAGCGATTTTCTCCCTTTCCGGTACAATTTCAGCCGCTGAAATTGATCAAAACAGCCCACGATTTGTCCCAAGACTTGCTCTGATACCAATTTGATAGGTCCAAGTATTTCCTAATCACTTTAGCCCAAGATCTCACAGCAAACTGCTGTCCACAGCAGGAAATCAGCCAAAACAGTGGGAAAACACGAGAAAAACGATAGAAACACGAAGTAAGAACTTGTATTTTACTAGATGATGAAAGGAAAATAGCAAAGATACAAGGATCCTCTATTCGAGAGGAGGATCGCACTCTCCCAATCTCTAGAATACGATCTAGAGCCCAAGTCAACAAGAAGAACAAGAGAAACTACCATACAAAAACACATAACCCTCAACCCCTCATTACTCCCTACTTAATGCATACAATTCAAAATAGATACAAAAGGACATAATTTCCCGCACTTCCTCTCATTTTGGCTCCAAGAAACAACTTGAATTTCAAGTGGACCCCACCTCACGCCCTCCTGCGGTTTCCGCCTGTTCGCCCGCCCTCTTCTCCGATAAAAATGAACCGGCCACTGGATTGGGCCGGCTGGACCGGTCCAGGGAGGACCGGTCTAACAGTGTCACGCCTCATGCCGACCTTACTATTAAAAATCAATATAAAATGCAACAAAGGAGAGACTAAACATATTTACGTTATATCCCACTTTTCCTTCAAAGTAAAATTATTATAAAAGGCATCATAACTTAAACATCAATTAGAAGCAGAAGTGATGTAGAACGTTCATACAAGGATGATTAACTTAGAGAGTTTGCACGCTTAATTTTAGAGACCACAATAATTATATCTTTGTATTGATTTTAAACGACAAAAGAAAACACAATGAGCGGTAAGACAAGTTTAGGCTAAATCACATGCATAGGGGTTAAGACTGTAAAACAATCAATTAGTCTAAAATAGCATACATGAAAAGTTTCAACAAGAAATCCCTAGACTAACAATGAGATTAATATTATGAAGGATCTCTCATACAACTCTATAATTTACTAGGCTTTAGTGGAGGACTAACACTATCTCAGTGAATCATTTAATCCGACAATTGAAAGTAACTCAGAAAATAAAAGAGTGAGGGAAAAAGTTCACCAAATCCTGTGTTTGAGGGCTTTGGGGCAGCAACTAGAAGGTCTTTCCGATCAGGACAGTCGCCTCCTTTGGTGGAATTTCCTTTGGACAGCACCCTGGATCCTGTTCGGCGAATTGGGGCAGCAGCTGGAGGACTTTGGAGCAACAAAACTGCTGTTTCTGCGGCTGGAATTCTTCTGGACAGCATCCAGGGATGATTGGACAGCAGCTATGAGAGCCTTGGTAGCAGTTTGGACTCTCCAGAAATTTTGGACAGCAAAACAGAAAATTCTGGACTGTGGGACAGCAAGGAAATTGGCTGTAGTCTTCTGGATGGCAATTTGTGAACGAACAGAAGCTAGACAGCAGGGTTGTGAAGCAGGTTAACTCCTCTAAAGAGATCGTAGAACCGCGAACCTTGGACTCTTCCAAAAGTTGACGGGTATTGCGATTGCCCACACCTTGGGTCTTCCTTCTTCTCTCAAACACTCAACATTGAGGGAGACAAAGAGAAATCTGAATTTTCATTAATCAATCACCATCCTCTAATACAAGAGAGTTAGTCTATAAATAGGCCTCATGAAAAGGAAAATAACAAAGACTAAAACGCCCTTCGGGCTACAACACTACATGACCACTCCTAAGGGTAAAATGGGAAAAACAGTAATATAAGATAAACTAGTACATAAGACATAAAAGTAAAATAAGCTCTAGATCGTACCGTTGATCTTCCGATGTCCTCATCAAGAACCAGCAAAAATTTCATTTTAAAAAAAAATTCTTTTACAGAGAAGTTACAGAGAAAAAAATCAAAATATGGGATATTGGCAAACTAGTGATCTCAATCCAGACCTCCTTGTATTGAAAAAATTAAACTTCAAATAAAACTGAACCTGACAGTATTCTGGTTCAACTTTATCCTTCACTTTTTTTCCTATAATAATATTCAGAATGATAATCTGAAAAGCTATGACCCCCATAAAGATATGTGATTCTAAAACGTTAGTCAAGTATAGGGAAAACAATAATTGACATGTGCATCAACAAGTGAATGTAAGAAAAACTACATGTAATCGTTGAATAAGAATTATGCATACATGGTTATAACGTGACATGTGAAATTATTGCTACACGCAGGAACTATGCATAATGTAATATTAATATCATCACATTAGGCTAGATACGTTCAATATGAAAAAATAATACATTGTCTGTAACTCATGCGTTGTCAGTTGTTTTCCAATGTACATCATACATTGCTTCAGGTAATCATAAATACGTTTCAATTCATTTCTTAATTTCTTTTTCAACCTTAGAAGATGTCGTGTCTAGATGTTTAGGTCTAAGTCTACAGCCCGGAAGCTCTTGAGGTTGCATTGCCTCTCTGGGTTGCACTGACCATCTGAGTTGTATTTCCCCACTTGCCTATCACCTAACATGACATTTTCTCATTCTTATCTGAATCATTTGCATTTTCCTTTTCAGTAATGTGACACTTTATTATATATAAATATACACAGACATGGTGTATCAGTATTAAAGAAACTATGACTGTATGAATCATATGCTACAAATCATCGTATGACAAAATCGTATATAGCAGCATCATATACCAAAATCACCGATTACAAAAAGTTACATGTGGAAGGATTACATGGATCATAATTTCAGACTGCTCCCAATAGGCAAGAGTACAAAGACACATGTCAGCCACAACTTATTTGAATGCATGAACACAAACAATACTCAATCAACTTGCATATTGTAAAAATGCATATTTGACCTCCCCGATGCGTTGACTAATCTAATCAGACATCTTGCGACCACCTGCAGGTATAAGTTGTCTTTAACAATCCAACTTCATTTTATTGAACAAATGCATGTGTTGTACTCTTTATTTTTTTTGCCTGTGCAACATTCTCGGAATTTAAATTTTGGATTTTGGTGCATTTGTCAGAGCACACGTTGACATTTAAGGTTTGATTTTTTAAATAAGATGTGTAGATTATTTGAAATGATGACACGTTTCTCAAGATATGATGTTTCAAGTTTAAAACTTCCTGAGGAACCCTCACAACTTTTGGAATCATCTCCAATTTGATCCGTGTGATGACATGCTTATTAAAGCGCACTCATATGTTTCTATCAATTGATGTATTCTTTAGGAATTAAGCATATTAATAAGTATAGTTGCACACTTCTCAATGATAAACGTTCTTTCCAAAACTTCTGCATGATCTTGGAGACATCTTGTTTGAATTGCAAGTTATCTTGTGATACATACGCTTCCTTTTTTTTTTTATTTGAGTGCAGTTCTTTGTGTGAGTATTTTATTGCTAAAGTTTCAGCAACCATTTTCATTTTTTAATCCACCCTTGCATTTTAATCCCTCCACCAAAGATGTGCATAATCGATGTTTGCAATTTTTGTGCTCTGATTTTTCAAACGGCAATGATCCTTAGTCATATTTTATTTTAATGATGACTTCAGATTGGAGAATGCGCTGCAGTTTGGTGGAGGCCGAACTTTGAAACTGTGATGTACCCATACTGTCCTCCCCATATCACCAAACCAAAGGTACACTATATTATATTTTATATATATATATATATATATATTTATATTTAAGTAATCCTTGTAATGGTAGCAAGTAAGCATTCTTTTTCCCTGAATGGTGATTCTTTCTCTCCAGGAGTGCAAGAAACTTTTCGTTGTTCACTTGTCAGAGAGGGAATACTTTGCTGTACCGAAGAACTTGAAGTTACTTGCTGTTCCGCTGTTTGAACTTTATGACAATGTCCAGGTGATTATTTTTAATAGTATTATTTGAGATTGAAAGATCAAGTAATCAGATTGATTTTTCTTTTTAGTAATCTGCAACATTTTGATTCGGGCTTCACCGGGGCAGTTGTGCTTTTATTGAGCCGTATAATAAATTTTTTTATATTTTCATATAGAAATGAAAGTTGTTACATAAGTTGGATCGCACATAAAGTTATAGAAAAATCCTTACTCCACAATATTTATGTTATAAGCATATTTTTTTGCATACAGGTCTAAACTATTTTTCAAAAATTAAAGTTGGATAAATTAAACTAAATGAAGATTTAGCTTTTGTTTGAAACGGCTTTCTCACTGCTTTTTAAAACAGTTTTTTAGTACAAAAATTTCTAGAACTAGAAATTATTTACTATAAAATTGTTTTAGAAAACGATAAGAAAGCCATTCAAACTGAAGTCTTAATTTCTTCATTATAGTCTCTAAGACTTTATTTGGGACGGCTTTCATGCCGCTTGTTAAAGCAGCTTTCTAGTTTAAAAATTAAAAATTTTCTACTAGAAAGTTGCTTTAAGCTTTAAGAAGCAATAAAAAAGTCATCCCAAACGAAGTCTAAATCTTTGTTTTGAGTAACTGTAGTTCAATCATCTTCTTAATGCATTGTTTTAGATTTCCTTCAGAGGGGGTTAATATAGTATCGCTAGCATTAATTGATTGATTAATTGTGCTTGTAGACATCCAATGGTCAATGCATACTCTTTGTTCTCTGATAGTCGCGGTTTCTACTAGAAAGTTGCTTTAAGCTTTAAGAAGCAATAAAAAAGTCATCCCAAACGAAGTCTAAATCTTTGTTTTGAGTAACTGTAGTTCAATCATCTTCTTAATGCATTGTTTTAGATTTCCTTCAGAGGGGGTTAATATAGTATCGCTAGCATTAATTGATTGATTAATTGTGCTTGTAGACATCCAATGGTCAATGCATACTCTTTGTTCTCTGATAGTCGCCTGTTTTTGCTGTTGCTATTTTCTGCATTTTGAATGTTTGGCAGCCAGTTCTATTTCTCCAATTTTATGTTTGGTCTACTTTTCTCTATATAATTTACATAATACTGCTATCTAGATAAAAATTTTGTTCAAATAACTGTATTATCTTGTAAATGCAGTAAGTTTTGGTAAATTTTATCTTCCATAAAGAATGTAATTATAATGGGTTTTATTATTATTATGTTATTTTTTTTCAAATCTTCAAGATTGAGATAATCTAGATATCGGTTCAATTGGCTTACCAAGTTATAAGAGAGAAGGTCAAAGCAACCTCTTATTATCAATAACATATGACATTACAATAAAAAACCATTAAACCAAACCGCACTGTATACTAATTATTTTCAGAACTGAGATTTTTAGGATTTCTGCATTTGTTTTCCTTTGATTGTTGCTTCTAGATTGCAAGGAAGATATTTAGACTTCGTTTGCGACAACTTTCTTACTGCTTCTTAAAGCAGCTGTTTAAATAAAAAACTAAAATTTTTATGCTAAAAAGCTGCTTTAAGAAGCTGTCCAAATGAAATCTTAGATTGCTCACTCCTACCACACACCATTGCAGGCATATTGATTGAAATTGACTTTTTATAATTTAACATATTTGTATTTTTGCAGAGATATGGCCCAGTTATTTCCACCATCCCACAGCAATTGTCTAGATTCCAGTTCAAGATGGTAAATTCTTAAAGCTGATTAAGCTGAAGGAATGCTTACTTTGCTCATATTTCTACAGTGGAAATTCAGTAGGAACATTGGTAGCATGAACTTGGAGGATAATTTTGATTAATATTGCCATCATCAAATTTCAGCTTTTTTTTAGTTTATCTTTCTAGTGTTTATGCTAATGCATAATGTACCTTTTCATTATCAATATTTGAGCAAACTTATTTAAGTGGCTATTGAGAGGTAAATTTTTTTTTTTTCAATAAGTTTTTCCATAATTTTCTTTTGCAAGTATCTTGCATCTCCTGGAAAAGAGAATGGCTATTAAGATACTGACTGACAAAAGAAATCAGCTGATGGTTCAAACATGAAAGGTTTCTGTTGAGATCAATCAGAAGTTATTTATGCACATTTTTCTGTAATTATTTGAGAATTGTTGGAAGTCAGAAGTTGGAAGAGTTGGAATTTAAGTGAAAGAGATCATTATGTAGCTTATCTTGATTTATTGGTTGAGAGCTGAAGGTTTTGTTTGGGACAGCTTTCGTTTTACTTTTGAAAATAACTTTTTAGTGCAAAAATTTTTAGCTCAAGAAAATTTTGTACTTGAAAGTAACTTTAGAAAGCAGAAAGAAAGCTGTTCCAAATAAAACCTAAAGCTACTAATACGAGGCCTGTGTGTGTAAGTTTTATGTTTAATTCGCTCAAAATTTTAGAAAAAAGAGATTATTATCTTCCTCTGCCATTATTGGAGGATAAATAACGGATTAAAATAGGGTTGGTCATTATGATCATGTTTTCTGTCAGATGAGTTTAGGGGTATTAATTTTTGATACGATCCGAAACCCGATCAGAAAAAATCCGAGTTTGGGTCAACCCGAAACGGGTCGGGTTCGGGTTCAACAAAACAACCCGTTTTAAAAATCAGGTTGGGTTCGGGTTGACCCAGCAATCCGAAATTGATCCGAAAGTGACACGAAAACTCATATTTGATGTGAAAACTCGAGATTGACACGTTTTTAACCCGTTTTGACCCAAAAATCGAAGATTGACATGATTTTTGACTTGAAAATTAGCAATTTTGGGTCAACCCTGTGTCATTCGTGTTGGGTCGGGTTGACCCGGACCCGAATCAGGTCGGGTTTTGATATGGAAACCTGACCCATTTTTAAAAACAAGTCGGGCTCGGGTTGACCCGAATAGTGGCGGGTCTATTCCGGGTTTGACCCAAACCCAACCCGTTGACCCGAATTGACACCCCTAGATGAGTTTTAATTTTAAAATTTATTTTGAAATAAATGTAATATAAAGTATTTATATAGTACACTCATTCTAAAATAAATTTAACTATTTTAATGCCTCTTTTAATTTATTTTTAGTTTTGATATGAATTTTATTTGCATTAAATTTGGCCAAGGTTGCTACACATACCCGACTTTTATGAAGGCCAAAGGCTTCGTTGTTTGCTTATAATGTTAATAATAATAATAATAATGCAATTTTTTGTTAATAATAATCATTTAAAGTTAATTATTGCAATATAATCATAACGAATATAAATAATTAATTTGAAATAAACTTATATTTATAGAGTAATATATTTTAAATATTTGAAGGACCAAGAAAATAAATCTTTGTGATCCTTAAAGACTAACATAAGATGAGATGTTAATTTCAAGTAATTAAGCATAATTAATATAATCTTCATATTATTTCTATTGTAATTATTCTTTAATTTATATAAAAATTTAATTTAATTTATATCGTCAAAATGAATTTCTTTATTAAATCTTTAAAAATCTATCATATTATCAAATGTATGCAATTAGACTCAAATAACACAAAGTTGACCAATCCTGCCTCAATTATATCAGCTCCAAATCAAATCATTTACACTAATTCTTTATTTGACACAACTTTCTTTTTTTACTTCTCAAAGCAATTTTTTTATATAAAAATTAGAATTTTTATACTAAAAAGCTGCTTTAAGAAACCGTAAAAAAATTATCCCAAACAAAACCTAAATCATTATACCATTACGATAAACAAAACAACAATGACAACAATTTCGTTATTGATTAAGATAGACAAAAGAATACAAATTATTATATATAAAATAAAACTATAATCATAATAATTTAAATACAAAAACCATTAGAAAATTTTAAAACTCATCATAATCAAAACTTGATCATAAAAAATTTCCAAAATGCAGCATATGTAAATAAATGCAAATCAGGAGTAACAGTAATTGCTATGCAAATCACCAAAGATAATAGTTGGGAAGAGACTAAAGAATAAGATGTGCTAAACACAAAAATTACTTTATCTGTTGATGGATATCAAATTTAAAGGCAAAGCATGAATAAATTCCACCAGTTGGACCTCCAATTTTGTCCAAAATTTATCTATTTATGGCAAAAACCATACAACAACAAATGGCTTTTATCCCACTATGCGGAGTCGACTCCATTTTGTCTTGAGTCAAATTCTCATTTAAATTTAATAAAGAAATGTCATTTTTAATATTTTCTAACCAAAATTTTTTAGGACCATCTCCACCTTAACATAAGACAAATTTAATACATATACTCTCCTAATAGGGTCATCGAAAGACTGTCATTTTATGTGACCAAGCCATCTAAGGCGACTCTCTCTAATCTTATCTTCCACTAGAGGTAATGCAACCATTTTTACTATTAAAACCTTTTTCTTTTGATACTCCAAACACATCTTGTACAACATTCTTAATATTACTAATTATTATTTTCCACATAACATTAACTTTCTCATGGCCATACAACATTTCAAGATCTAAAATCCTACCCTCAAAGATTTTTTTATTAATATTATTTAAATACCTCAATCTAATCCTACAACAGCTATTTACTTTATTTTTGATCCGACCAAAACCATATAAACTGTAAAATTTTAAATAGAAAAACTATACATTCCCTCAGGCGGCAATCGCCCCTTAATGGGGACCAGATAATGTTGGACCCGAGTAGATGGTTTGGTGTGGGTCGCTCAGCCAGGTCGACCAGGGTTTACGGACCACCAAGCGCCCAGGAGGCAGCGAACTGTTCCTCGTCATAAATAAATAAATTAAAAAAAAAAAACTGTCCAATGTGTTATCTTCCTCGGTTTCCTCCAAGGTTTGGTAGAACATTTAAAAGATTTGGAGAAACCCAAGCTAAAGCTTCTACAAATATTGAAGGAAGATTGCTTTACTTTAACTAATAATATTAGCCAATCTCCAGCAGCTATCTTTCTGTCCTATTTCTTGCATTTGATAAGGTAAATGCATAACAGTGGTCAAACACTGGGCGAATTATTACGTCCGGTCACCGGACGTCCGGACATCCAATCCAGACGCGCCACGTCACCAAAATACACTGGAGCCCGGTGTATTTAGGTGATGTGACGCGTCTGGATTGGTGTCTGGATCAATCCGGACACCGGACGTAATAATTTGCCCAAACACTGGAGTTTCAGATGCAATTTTCTAAGTCAAAAGATATCCCAAACCAAGCATTTAATTGTTACCTCGGTGAACAAAATTTTAAGAAAATCTCCAACATTTCAATCATTAAAAACCATATTCAATAATAGATTTCAACGTGTAACTTTTCAGCAAACACGCAATGCTTTCAAACAAAGCATCAAATGGCAAATGCATCAGACATCTGGAACATATCCTACTGACATTGCAAACCAAATAACTAAAAATTCAAACAAATAACATTTGGATTTACAACCTGTTAGTGCCAACTCCGAGGTCTCAATCTAGAGCAGAGAAACATGAGGAAATAGTTGCTCTGGAAATCTTGCTTTCAGTGAATATCTCCAGTGCAGTGGTCACCAGAGAGAGAATCCAAATCCTGCATGTCATATTGTGAGAAAAATTATTACGTGCGCGTTCGGATTCATTCGGAGATCAATTAAAATGCGCCACGTAGCCCCAAAAATGTACCGCGCTCGGTACATCGGACGAGAGAACCGTCCGGCGTCCGCACAGAATAATTGCTCCATATGTGGAGCTTGTAGACAAGCAACTAAAGAGGATGGTAAATCTAATTCATATTGCAACTTGCAAGCAAGGTAATGTGGATATCTAGAAAAAATTACATTTTAATAGCTTACCAGATTAACTGGAATTTACAGTAGATTTTCTGATTTATTCATTTAGGCTGAAGATGCACAAACTGTCGCAAATCAACTGCAGTAAATAGCTTGATCTATTTGAGCAGGAATCTGCTTTATTTCAGTTCCAAGCTCTTGCTCGATCCTATAACTGTCAATAGAATAAAGGTTATTATGCAATAAATAAATAAAAGAACTAAGAGAGGAAAAGTGCCCATGATAAAGATATCATACAGGTTGAAACGATCCTCATAAGTAATCAAATTAACTGCTAAACCAAGGTGACCGAACCTTCCTGAGCGACCAACCTGAAAAAACAGAAAAAAAAACTTATGGAAAGTGAAAAAAAAAACATGCAAGAGTGCCCCCAAATACATAAGAAGGATATAATATGAGCATATCATGAAGTCTCCTTCCTAGTCAGTCCACTGTTCATCAAAGAAGGATCCAAATGTGCGATATCATAAAGTCTACCTCCTAAGTTTATCAATTATCACCCATCGTCGAATGATATTATAAGTAGATCTCAGGTTATTAAAGGACACCAGATGTGCATCTCTCACATATGATGACCTCTCCCTTATCAGTCTACAGACCATCAATGCATCTCTTTTCCTCTCATTCTCTCTAGGACGTAATCATACAAATATAAAAGAATGTGATAGGAAATACTAGAGTTGGCAAGTACCCCTAAGGGAAATACTTGAGTTCGCGAGCAAACCTATCACTAATTGGTAAAAACAGCAAAAAATAAATAAATAAATATAATTCTTCTGTTAGACCGGTCCAGCCGGTCCAGGCGGGACCGGTTCACGGGCGAATCGCAAAAACCGAGGAGAAAGCTTCCGCCGGGCGGAAGCCGCGCGAGACGCGCGCCTTGCGGGACGGTTTCAGGAAGAAAATTTGAGAGAGTTTAGGAGGGAAATTTATTGCGGGGACTGTTTAGGGAATTCCTTTTGAATTGTATGCATTAAGTAGTTGATTTTTCTAGGGTTTGGGGCATCTAGAATTTGGCTGAAATTTGAGATCTCTTAGATCTAGGTTTTCTTTGGGCTCTAGCGGCGTCTAGAGATTTGGGAGAGATCGATCCTCCTCATGAATTGAGGATCAAGTGTATCTTGCTGTTTTTATTCATCTATTAGTGAAATACAAGTGTTTTGCTTGGTTTTATTTCAGATTTCCACTCAAATCCTTCTGTTTTCTGCTGTTCTCTACTGTAGACAGCAGAATTTCTGTTATTTTCTCGCTGTTTTCCAAATATTAATAGGAAATACTTGAAAACTACAAGTGTTTCCTATCAAATTGGTATCAGAGCATCGTTTTTGGGACTGTTGGCGGCTGAAATCCTGAAATTTCAGCGGGAGTTTTGTTTCCGGAAAAATATCTTCGTGAATCTTGAGAAGAATGATGGCCGGAAAGAAGGTTGACGTCTTGGAAGGCGAAGTCGGCCAATTGAAAGCCGATTTGGAGGAAAGATTCTTCAACCTTCAAATCAAATCACCTCTAACAATGAAAGGTTGGAGGGGAAGTTCACCGCAATGGAGGAAATGTTGAAGAAACTACTTGAGATGAAAATCAATTCGGCGACATTGGAAGTAAGAGAGACCGCCGACGGCCATGACATGGGAGGAAATCCGAACCCCTTGCGGGGGAGGAGAAATTCGGAGGTGGAGATCCTAGAGGAAGAGAACGACATGCCTCCTCTATGAATACATAT